CAGGGAAACCGTTTTGAGTCAATTGAAGACCTTAAACGTGATTCGCTACGCGCATTGAAGCCTATTCCGGAAATTAACTTTAACCACAATTTCAAGGTTTGGAAAAAATATATCAGATCCAAGGAGAATTRCAATAAGAAAACATTAAAAAAATATACAATGTTATTATTCACAGTATTATCCAAATAAAGCTATACAAATTTCCCATCTTTCTGGCAATTTGTGGATTCCATCCCWGCCCAGCCCAGCCGCTATTTTCCAAAWAGTTTTTAACCGGTCTTGTCGTGTCTAGTGAAAAATTCTGAGAATTTTTAAATCGCCTTTCRACGTTTCTTAGCTTCAATACATATGATACCCAATTTCCCTATTTTTGAATGTATCCGACTACTTTCAGTAGTGCATGCTTGAGTAGGTTCCAAAGATGTTAGCAGCTCATCTTTTGATTCTTCCTCATCTTCAGTGAATGAAAAAAATTTTGCTGTTTAAACTTCAAATGAAGGACATATACTGAAGTAGACAATAGCTTTTCAAGCAATTTTTGCAATATTTAATCAATGGAGTAAATCCCTTAACGTCATCGTTGTGAAATTTATAGACGCAAGGAATCAAAACGTTTAAGCTTATTTAATCAAATGCATCATATTTCGAAAGTATTGCAAAATGACATCTAACAAAATGATTCATTACAATAGCAAAGAAACAGGGAATAGCTTGGAGCTGTTCAAGAGATTTGTTCACGCTAACACAGAAAATATGACTGAAATATGACAGAAATAAAATAGAGAACCAACTATCTAGGTCAAGAAATAGCATATACTGTCTTACAGCTACTATAACAGGGTCAGCATGCGATAAAAATTGGGTTTCCTTATAACAATATTTGACGCAGCTGCACTTGAGGAGACCATGATGGCAACACTTCTACTTACCTTTAAAATTAGTTTAGTTCAATGATTTCTGATTAAAATTTAAATTATTTAAGAATTATTTCGAAAAGCTTGCGGTCTTCTCTTATAAACAATGTACATTGAATTTGTGTTTAAAACAAATAAATAAAAGGTATTTTATAAATTGCAGTGGTTCTTTAGCAGTATTCCTGCAGCACCCTAGTAGTTCTTGAAAGTTCTCGTATCGAAATATAATATTATTATACTCGGTGATAGTTTTCCACAAGAAAAAAGCTCATAGTCCAGTTTAAAATTATTTTGTTTTTCGTTGGGTCACAAAATTCAMAAGAAAAAATGTTTTCTTTAAATAATCTAACTTTATGGATAGATTTAGGAAAAAATTGTTTTGGACCTTTTTTGAAGAGCATTTAAATAATAGAAAACCGTTAAGCGAAGGTCCTTTCCGTTATAATTAAGAGATCATAAATGAAGATCCTTTCTTAAAGGTGTCTATTAACCATTTTTTCAGGGCACGAAGCGAAAAATAATATTCGTTTTTTTGACACACCCTAATATATATAATTTTACAAAGTTGGRTTCCTTTTGGGTGTTACGAACTTCTGCGAGACTTAAACCTTGAAAAGGGTATACAATTTTTAATCCCAAGTACGCGAAATAAAATTTGAAATTAATATTTCAAATCCCAACATCGGAAAGAAAAATCCAAGATGTTGATGGGAAGTTCAAATAGAAAATCGAAAATGTATTTTTTTATCCAAAATTTGTGAATGAAAAAMTTCGCAACCCTGAATATGGRTATTTATGGTATATATAGCACATTTGAGTCTCGTAACTAAACTCGGTGAGAATTTTTCACTACTTAACAATAGCACATGACAATGAATGAAACCGCTTGAGTCTATTGACCCATTGCAATTTGTCTCCTTCATCTTCAATTACAAACTTTTTCCAACAATTACAATACTGCACTTGAAATCAATTGATTTGACCGTAATGATTTATTCTTCACCTTTTATGTAAGAACAATTCGTTTAACATAAAAGTGTATCAGTATGAATCTTCGATTCTGCCTGGTGGGAAAGTTATATATTGCATGTCAGCATTAATTTAAATAAATTACATGTCAATTTAATGCATTGTAAATGTATTATGCACGCATGTGAACATACATACCAATGAAAATAATTTAATAGAAGAGTAATTGCCAAGAGCGGCGATGGAGAGTGAAAGTAATTGAGTCGTGTAAACTTGTTGAACCGGCACAAAATCGTAATCAAATTATAAGTGTAGTAATATRTATTGTGAGAGTCTTGAACTCTTCGCAAAATACTCGTACATACATGTAATTATTAAGAATAAATATACCTAGTTGCGTTATGGYAGTTCGAATCAGAGTAATTGGCTCCGAAATAACATAATTATTTTAATATTTTAATCAATAAATTGTTATTAGCTTTAGATTTGAGTTGCAACATCTCACTGATGCATTCAATAATTCGACTAAGTCTTAGCACTCATCTTCAGCATTAAGGTTGTAGAGTGCTGGTACGTACCGTTCGTTTGGCTATCAGCAAATCGCCGCTAAATGATGCATACTAAATTCCTTGATAGCCACTTTGCATTAGTAAATTCAGCATTCTCACATTAAATGCGATACCACTATCTTTCTAGATAAGGAGTTTTTTTATCGTTGTTAAAAAAGATTAAAAAAAGAATTATTTAAAAACACCCTTAATAAGGTAACTGACATTATAAAGTTTGCCGACAAAATAATTTAGTTTTCCATTTCTAAATTCCAACTAATAACTCTCCTGATACAACGATAATCATCTCTGTATTCGAAGCCATTGTATCTACCTTTTCGTTACAATCTTTCTCTTTTATATTCCATTAGTTCAAATTCAAAGTGTATTCACTGTTTTAACTTTCCTATGTCCCACACTTTAGAGATAGTAGTAACTTTAAACATATTCAAAATAGGAATCACGGATATAACCTCTCTTTATTGGTAAATCTCATTTCAACGAGCAGTTTGTTAAGATATAAAACAGCAACAAGTCGCTATTCTCAAATCTGGAGAATACGGCAGATGGGGAAGAAGTTTGGCGACCAATTCAAGTAAATTTGTCATCGTTTTCCTTGATTTGTTACACAATAAATTCATCCCTACTCAAATGGGGCCGCTRGGGCATTAGTAACCTTGATAGCCACTTTGTACTAGTAGCTTCAGCATTCTCACATTAAATGCGATACCACTATCTTTCTAGATAAGGAGTTTTTTATCGTTGTTAAAAAAGAWTAAAAAAAATATTTAAAAACACCCTTAATAAGGTAACTGACATTATAAAGTTTGCCAACAAAATAATTTAGTTTTCAATTTCTAAACTTTAAACATATTCGAAATAGGAATCACGGATATAACCTCTCTTTGTTGGTAAATCTCATTTCAACGAGCAGTTTGTTAAGATATAAAACAGCAACAAGTCGCTATTCTCAAATCTGGAGAATACGGCAGATGGGGAAGAAGTTTGGCGACYAATTCAAGTAAATTTGTCATCGTTTTCCTTGATTTGTTACACAATAAATTCATCCCTACTCAAATGGGGCCGCTGGGGCAGGTGACTTCCCCGCAAAACTTGTATCTCTTAGAATTATATATGTAGCCATATCGACAACGATGACTTATACACGTGTCCTTGAAAGTTTAGGTCTAACTTTAAAACTTATTGACAACGATATCCGATCTTCTCTATCTTCCTGGTATATACACGTAGGAAGTCTAAGCTTTCACACACTGCCGATATTTAAATATGTAAATTATTTAACGTTGTTTCTCTATTATTCCTCCAACAAGTCATTTCTCAAACCCCCTAAGTACATAAATTGATTTTSAAAGAAATCGTTGTGATTTTTATTGAAATACCACCTGGGCACAAAATGTTACAATATTTAATTCATATGAGAATAAGAAACCTATAAGAAATTGTATTCATTTTTCAACTACAGCAACGCTTTGTAGGAAATACCTGTGAATCAATGCAGCTGAGTCATTACTGAAARCAATGAATGAATTAGAACAACTCGAGCCGGCAAATAATGAGCATGACGAAGTTCAATGCGATTGATAAGCTAATTGCTATATTAAACTAACGGTTATCATTGACAACAATCTATTTAAAAGAAGTGTGATAACTAAGTCATTATTGATAACTAAGTCATTATATAAAATGAGAGCACTTTTACACTTATTTAGGCAGCAGTTGAGCCGACTCTGGCATTGTGAACGGGTTGGCATTGCGGTGATTTGGTTGTTGCTCGAGCGCGTATTTACTGTGACAAAAGTGAAGTGAAGTAGTTTTGTAGTAAMATTCTTCTTTTATCTATAAAATCTAAATCAGATGCGTGAGACTTCGGGAATCTGTCAKCAGCTGTGCCATCCGCTGGCAAAAGAGTTTCAACGAGAAAAATTSTCGCTGACATATGAACCTTCAGAAGTTTTCTTCAAATCTCAGGTAGGAGTCTACGGCAATGGACAATAACGTAAATTTTAATTGTTTAAACTAATTTTTGGATGTAATCCAACAACAATTTTGTTAAACAAGTGTACAAATWAAAAAWTTTTTSATTTTACGATGCTTTATGATTATATTATATTTTTTTTTCTCCAAATCAATTAGTGGCAAAGCCAACCGAAGTCGATTATATGGCTAATCTATCGTTGGCTCTTAGCCGCCACGTTTTCTGTCGGAGTGTTAGGCAGCTTGATCCAYGCATTTGCAGAGGGAAAATGGTTTATCTATCTCACCGATTGGGGGTTCCTTCTCTGTATGTACACAAGCGTCTTTGGCGCTATTTTGGTAACGATCTTTTATTGCAGTAAAGATAATGCTTGTAAGTGTAATTGTGAWAAATCTACGCCGTTCGATTTAAATTGTGCTAAGGCCTTTTACAGTTGTACCACAATGGGCGATAAAATTATATTGGGCTTCTTATTGGACCACATTGTCGCTGGCTACGCTTATAACGTTCATATATTGGATATTCATTTTTCCAAGTTAGTACCGGTATCAAACTATTTTAATTACAATCATAAATTTTGTAATCTTTTGTTATAAAAATTTTCACTTTTAATAAGGTAGAGTACCCTAAAGTTATTTGTAAGCGAGGCCAGACTGCAAATCTTATATATGAAAATGAATCGCAAAATGTGTTGGTAAGCGCATCACTCAACAACGTCTGGACAAATTTGGGCAATTCTTTTTTCTAAACGTTCGTTGAGGTTCAAGGCTGTCTCTTATACACATCTAAATATGGATATTTATGGTATATATAGCACATTTGAGTCTCGTAACTAAACTCGGTGAGAATTTTTCACTACTTAACAATAGCACATGACAATGAATGAAACCGCTTGAGTCTATTGACCCATTGCAATTTGTCTCCTTCATCTTCAATTACAAACTTTTTCCAACAATTACAATACTGCACTTGAAATCAATTGATTTGACCGTAATGATTTATTCTTCACCTTTTATGTAAGAACAATTCGTTTAACATAAAAGTGTATCAGTATGAATCTTCGATTCTGCCTGGTGGGAAAGTTATATATTGCATGTCAGCATTAATTTAAATAAATTACATGTCAATTTAATGCATTGTAAATGTATTATGCACGCATGTGAACATACATACCAATGAAAATAATTTAATAGAAGAGTAATTGCCAAGAGCGGCGATGGAGAGTGAAAGTAATTGAGTCGTGTAAACTTGTTGAACCGGCACAAAATCGTAATCAAATTATAAGTGTAGTAATATGTATTGTGAGAGTCTTGAACTCTTCGCAAAATACTCGTACATACATGTAATTATTAAGAATAAATATACCTAGTTGCGTTATGGCAGTTCGAATCAGAGTAATTGGCTCCGAAATAACATAATTATTTTAATATTTTAATCAATAAATTGTTATTAGCTTTAGATTTGAGTTGCAACATCTCACTGATGCATTCAATAATTCGACTAAGTCCTAGCACTTATCTTCAGCATTAAGAATGTAGATGTGCTGGTACGTACCGTTCGTTTGGCTATCAGCAAATCGCCGCTAAATGATGCATACTAAATTCCTTGATAGCCACTTTGCATTAGTAAATTCAGCATTCTCACATTAAATGCGATACCACTATCTTTCTAGATAAGGAGTTTTTTTATCGTTGTTAAAAAAGATTAAAAAAAGAATTATTTAAAAACACCCTTAATAAGGTAACTGACATTATAAAGTTTGCCGACAAAATAATTTAGTTTTCCATTTCTAAATTCCAACTAATAACTCTCCTGATACAACGATAATCATCTCTGTATTCGAAGCCATTGTATCTACCTTTTCGTTACAATCTTTCTCTTTTATATTCCTGTCTCTTATACACATCTAGATGTGTATAAGAGACAGCTTTATGTGTGTTTCACACAAAGTCATCAATTACAGATTGAAATTTATTACGAAGCCATGAAGAGGTCACACTAATATTCTTTTTGTCATTAACGTAAGGCACAYCTAAGCACATGAACGAGTACTCCCAGGATGCGATGACATACGTGTGGAATTGTGGATCGCGGTCAATCAGTAAGCGATCATCACGATGTCAYAGCACGACTTTTCAAAYAACAACTACGATRTTTGATGGACTTTATCTTGAAGCAACGTATGGTTGARTAGCAAATAAAGGKTAGCCGCAKKTACACATTTTTCTTTGGATGGTGRATGGTGGTCACACCAGATCAAATTGATGAACTCATTGATGCAGAGAAGGATCCAGTATTACACGAAGTGGTGAAAACCAATATGGTTCATGGACCTTTGGGACACCACAATCCCACTTCGGGKTGTACGTCTGAYAATATATGYATGAAACACTATCCAAKCTCTATTCGGAAATACCTTGATATTATACATGGAATGCATMGTCGAAGAAATAGTTACGCAGAAAGAAAGGCCAACCAGTAAATGATGTGCACCTGATCCAGGTGTGTTCTCAACTAATGCATTAGGACGAATTTATACAATCCACCYAAAAACGACGATTGTTTCTACCTTCGGTTGCTATTGATTAATRTACGCGGTTCAACTTCATTTGAGTCATTGCGTACTGTAAATGGTACGATGTGTGCAAGTTTTGGAGAAGTAAGCCAGCAATTACAATTGCTGGAACWTGTTAATCACTGGAATGCAAATGAAGTTTGCACACTTTTCCAGATAATCATTTCGACATGTCAGCCTTCAAATCCACGTCAATTAAAATGAACAAAAAAGACAATACCGAAGACAAAAATTGGAAATGGGTCAATATCGGTTGATACTTCCAGTGGTTTGATATCAATTCCATCCGCCGTTTATCAATTCACGAAATATGAACTCATCAAGAGTGTTTGTCCGTACATTGGATAAATTATCGTAACTAYTATTCCTTAAGTGCAARCGCAATRTTAGCTGCCARAAATAYCSAKKTTWTTGACTTAAGCTGGAAGATTCAAAGTCAAATKCCGGGAGACACTTGCGCTCATACAAATCGATCGACCGTCTTGACAATGAAGGCGACGCCCTGAGTTATCCAGTGGACTTTCTGAATTCTTGGAGAGGTTTRGTATGCCACGGCTCACTCCTTTCGAGTGTACAAATCAATCAATATAACGAGTATGCCAAGTTATGGTAAAMAATTTTCCACATCCAACAACTGTTGAACAACTGTTCAAGCCCCTAGGTAGCGAATATWTGGAAACCAGTACCTATAGTTKWGTTTTWAGCGAAAATRTTGGTTAACGTATCGGATTTATAAATGAAATTCAGAGAGAATTCTTTCCTGCTTTCCTGATAGTAGTATGTCTATATGCTAAAAATGGGTTGAATCGGRTTAATACTTYCCTTAGAYCCCTTTTACCTAATATAAAGATTTTCGAATTTCGATTTATATTGCATATATCCACCTATATGTGAGTTATCTTATAACGGAGCAATACTTGTATAACGGTAATAAAATGGAGTGAAAACTCGCCCTAGACCCCGTAGAACTAATAGGCGTTATGTACCTCAAGGTACTTCCATCGCTTTAACATTTGCAATTTGCAAGAGTATACAATATTCTGTTATACCCAAACTTAACACTTCGTCACTTTTCAAAATGCTGGCAGCCCTATGGTCCCCTGTATACTTTCATAATATGTATTTTTCTTAATACAATGCTTTACCTTAAATAGGTGGCACTCAATTGCACCTTACACAAAAAGTTGAGCGTCATCTGGGTCAAAACATAACCCAGCCAGGATATTCATAGGAACTATACGTATATCACCTGCCAAATCCCACTCAACAGACCACTGACCTCCCTTATATATACATAATTACAAAAAAAATTGTAAATCAAGTTGTGAAGTTACTAGTACCTCTTATCTATTAGTCTGCTGGACATGGTGGATGTCAGCTTTGAATTACCTCCACAAATGTTTGACGAACATGTTTAAATAAAATACCAAAATCCAGCAGCTCGTGATCACGATAGCTCACGTAGCTCTTGAAACATATAACATATTTGGGTTATGCATTTATTTAACTCACCATAGAATACCTAAAATTATATTTGTGACCATTATTAAATGTAATAAATACCGCACTATAAATGTTTAAGTATGTGCATTCATGGTCGACCATTATTCATCTTACCTATCCTGAATAGTTAGCAAAATTTTGACAATAAGMTCACCTATTTTGCAAATCAGACTATTAAACAGTTCCTTCATTTATTTACAGCTGTCAGTCAAAGCGGTTGGGAAGTATATAATCTSTGGGCGCACGGCTTCAATTCGATACTGATGATAATGGATCATATGCTGGTGGCTTTCCCAGTGCGCCTATTACACTTTGTCTATCCACTAGGCTTGGGTGTAGTATATGGAATGTTTACTCTTATTTATTATTGGGCAGGAGGCGTCGATCCGTAAGTAAACATACACTGTATGTAATTCATATATAATATATACGATATATATACATATATATGTATATATAAAAGTATTACTTATTTTTGGCATCGAATCGACTAACTTTTTTCACGCATCGAGACTGTTTTGCTCCACTTTTCCTCAACGGTCTTCTTGGGTCATTTTTGCTTTCTAACTTTTCTTTCAAGTGGATATCACAGTTGTTCGATACCATCTATATCCGGTATTTTAATACTTTTTTATAAAATACCCATGCCAGTGCATTAAATGATCTGCGCTTAAGGTCGTTGTMCGCATAAAGATTGAAACTTGTTTGGATTCCCATTTTCTCAGCACTTGGTATTAAATTTCTTTTCTGGATATCTATGTAACCATACTGAATCGTCGATAAAAACCAAATTACCGACTCTGTGTGCTGACGAACTACACAGCCGCACACCATCAATTATACTCCAACATGTTTGATAGCCACTCGCAAAGTAGCTGTGCTCATCTCTTTATTTGGTTTTCAYCACATTATTTGTTCGCCATTAGAAGAAAATATGTTGAGTTTTGACTCATTCAGAAAAATAAGATCATGTCTGAAGTATTTCGGCTAAGCTCGAAAGCAAACTGTAATCGTTTGCGTTGATTGATAAATGGCTTATAGGAGAAGTTCTTCCACGAACCCATATCAAGCACTACTATCGGCATTGCGAAAACGGATGAAATCGAGATTATTTGGGAGGGTTTTTTAGGAGCCGATTGGACGAGAGGTGTGGCGCCGCGTCTTTTATGTGAAACCATATATCATGACATTCCTATATAGCATTATGGAAATGAGCGAAATCAGACAAAGCCCCATCCACTTCTCAAATAACAAATGTTTAAATTCTATGTAATTATTTCACTTTCCGGTACACAAATCAAGCACCAATGAATACAATGGGATAAAACTTTGCAGAAATAGCTTATTTGAGGCGTGCCACCTCATGACTAGAAATTTCGTAAATCGAACTGTAATTGTTCAAGCCCCTATGTTGTTCAATAAGCTTTGTCGTTTGATAAGAAGAACACAATTTTATGATTCAAAGTACACTTTATTATTCAGTATAATCTCCCTGAACATTAATGCACTTGCTCTAAYGATTCTCTAATCTGTAGATCCCATCCCTGTAGTGAGAATCCGGATGGTCTGCAAAATTCGCTCAACAGTCGTTATGACCTCTTCATTTGAGGAAAAATGCTTGCCACGCATACATTTTTTGAGTTCTGGAAACAAATGGAATGGAAATAAGGCAATAATATTCAGAATTAATTGTTTTACCAGTTTGCAAGTAATTCACAAACAAAATTCCTCTCGCATTTAAAAAAGCGAATGCCATAACCTTCTCGGCCGATTTCCGGAMAAGAACCCAACAACCAGGTTCACACCATTATTTAGCCTCTTGTTTTTATTCAAGATCATGGCGATAGATCCAAGCCTCATCCATAGTCATGAATCGACGCACAAAATCCACTTTATGATTTTAGCAACACACCAAATGTTGCTGAGAAGTCGCATTCGAATGTGCTTTTATTCCATTGTTAGCGAATGCGGTCATTGTGCACACAGCTTTCCTTTACTCACAAACAACTCGGAGCAGAATTTGTGGTGCACCCATGTTTCTATCAGATAAAAATTAGTTTGTGAAAACATTATAATTTCGTACAAAATGTGTTGTTTAAATTTAAATCAGACTATTTAATGAAATAATTACTTGCTATATTCTTGCAGCTTCGGAAACCGTTTCATCTACGAGATACTCGATTGGTCAAATGCCGGCGGCGCAATATTAACCATWCTTGGTTGCGTATTCGTAACCTTAGTATTCTGCTTCATACACTTTGGCCTTTATAAACTGCGAACATTTATTTATAAAAAGCGACAAAGCTCCAAATTGACATTGAGTGCTTAATACTGAATAAGATTGCTACAAAAAGAATTTTGGGGGAGACATTACTTAAATATGTATATGTACGTAGATATAAGTATATTAGTCAAAGCATGAAAGTGCTGTACCACAAATTGTTGTCATATATRCATACATATGTACATGTATAAATTTTTATATTTAAATTATAAAAAGTAGTTTATGTTTAATAATTTGTTTTAATTTAAYTTCTGATAGCCATTGKAACAGTAATATGTACAATGCSTCACAAAGGTRTTCGGAAAATTAATTTCAARAAAGARATTGCCTGCAAWTCTTAGGRAAGTTGTATTATCTGCTAAGAGCATTATACAAACCAATATTTTAAGTAGATGGCGCCGRTGCGTGATACMTTGYTTGACAGCTACTCATTGTTCTCTGCTCAGTTAATTTCATGTGYCAAACCGGTATTGTGTTGACTGTGAAATTATGAAAAATAATTTTAAAAAATAAGTKATTCGTTTCCTAACATTTCAATTAGAAACCATCAAATCAATCACGTGTATTGTGCAAATTTTTATTCAATTTCAACAGCARGYRTTTGTCTTTAAGGTRGTAAGTTGAACTGTGTAAATTATGTGGATCGTGCATTTGAGGTTAAATTCACCACTCTGTACATAGTGCAAAATGCCTAGAGGACGACGTGCGAACATCGGACGCCGCTCAAGACATGCAAGCCAGCAACAAGTGTATTCACAGAACTTAAGCGAAGAACGACAAAATATAATAAGAGAAAATGAACGATTGAGACAGCGCTTGAGGACACGAAGATCATTGGCATCATACAATCGCTTGGCATTCCAATGACGACTATATGCCGATATTGCAATGGGTTAAAGTTCAAAAGAGAAACGGCTGGATTGTGCTGCGAAAGTATAAAAGTCAAACTGGATCCATTACTTACACCACCACAGCCACTGAAACCATTGTTCGATGGAAGTGATCCCAATTCCAGCCATTTTCTTCAGCATTTCCTTGAATACAATAACTGCTTTCGCATGACTTCCTTTGGAGCTAATATCATTCGAGAAGGCGRCTTCATGCCGACTTGCAATGTAAAAGATACAACACACATAACCAATCACTCACACCAACACAATGAATTGCAACACATAACAACTACATATACACCACACACTACACCATCACACGATAAGAAATTACACCGTATTCTTCAACAAATKATTGTTTGCAATTCCAGATACAATTACAAATACATATATGTATCATTTTCAAGGTTCAATCGGCCAACACCAGATGAASCGCATCAATTTYACCAAATACAGGGTACACAACAGTTAAAGAGACGAATTTTTGAACAGTTGCAAGCATTTTTYGACGCTAATAATGCTGTGGTTAATATGTTCAAAACAGCATTGGAACGAATGCCATCGGATACGCACAAATTTGTCATAAGAGCGGATTGTACCCCAACAGGTGAACATGTGTGAAGATTCAATGCACCCACCGTTAATGATGTTGCTGCAATAAATCGYAAGATATTGTCRTTCAGCGAAGAAGAAGAATATCACGCATCGTGTAAACGAGACACATCGTTTGTACGATGCGTTACAATATCCAATCATTTGGCAAGGGCAAGACGGATATGACATCACGTAGAAGATGGTCGATTCAATTATAGGCACAATATTCGCACACTTATTATTGCTGTTATTGGGTTCCATTAACAATTTATTTCATGTTGCATTTTCACGYGTMTCAACGAATAAAAATTTAAGCGCAATGAATTACTATGCGTATCGTATGATGATTGGTGCACATGAGGAGAATGTCATTATGAAGTGCCGTCRGCTCTTCCAGCAATTCGCTGTCGACATGTATGTCAAAGTCGAGAMCGAATGTTTAGCGTTCATCCGATTCAATCAGGCAAAGCTACGATCTGAGGACTATATACACTTGCGTGATGCTATTCATTCAGAWTGTGATGTTCAGARTATTGGACGTCTGAAGATTCTCCCATCATCTTATATCGGAAGCCCACGCCACATGCACGAATACGCTTAAGACGCTATGACGTACGTGCGAATTTATTTATTACGTTCACACGCAATCCGAAGTTGACGGAAATTRAACGTGAGTTGGAACCGRGCCAAAAACCAAAAGATCGCCATGACATAATCGCCAGAGTATTTCAGCAATTTTATGACGGATGTGCTTACTAAGTATCGAGTTTTTGGTGGCACMCKTTGTTGTATGTATGCCGTGGAGTGGCAGAAGCGTGAACTACCGCATGCTCATATCCTAATTTGGGTGCTGGACAAATTACATTCAAATGAAATGGATGACATCATATCAGCTGATATTACTGATCCCCAACGACACGACATTGTGACGACATAGATAGTGCATGGACCGTGCGGTGCATTAAATCCATTATCGCCTTGCATGGCCGCGACCGTTAGTTGCTGAGACAGTCACAGGGAACGATGGATATCTAGTTTATCGTCGGCGTTCAAAAAAAGATAATGGTCGGACTATCAAAGTTAAAGTTGAGATCGGAAATGAATTCATTGTACCATATTGCCCGCTGCTATCACGAATTTTCGAAACACATGCAAACATTAGTGAAGATTATTAGAATTATGCTTGGTTAAGTCAAAGGACAATTYTTACCGCGAAGAATAATGATGTACACGCACTGAATTTCACCATTCAATCAAAATTGCTGGCTATTTTGTGACATAAAAATCCGTTGATTCCATAACAAGTCCATAACGATGATGTAGTAAATTATCCAATGGAGTTTTTGAACTCTCTTGACTTACCAGGATTTCCACCACCTAACTTGCAACTCTAAGTTGGTACAGTTATTATGATATTGCGTAATTTAAAGCCATCGCGACTTTGCAAAGGTACTCGACTTTCGGTAGAAAGACTTAGGCCGAATTGAGGCAACCATTATTAACGGAAACGACGCAGGTGAAAATGTGTGTATTCCTCGAATACCAATGATTCCGACTGATCTTCCGTTTGACTTCAAACGATTGCAATTTCCAGTTCGCCTTGCGTTCGCAATGACAATTAAYAAGTCGCAAGGCCAATCGCTTGGTGTTTGCGGGATACATTTAGAAAATCATTGCTTTTCACATGGGCAGTTATACGTTGCGTGTTCACGAGTTGGGAAACCATTCGCTTGGTTTGTGTTAACGTCAGATCAAAAAACAAAAAATGTGGTTTAACAAAGAGCAATTCAATGAAACGGATAATTTGCGGACACGTATAACGCTTCGATTCAGTATTTACTTTAGTTTCACTTTCATTTACTTAGAGAAGTTCAACTAAATAAAACTTTATTCATTACTTTTGTGAAATGAAATATAATATTTCCTTTTCAAATATAAGACATGAAGAAAAAAAATGTTTCTTCATGTTTTAATCACCAAACGAAATTTTACATAAAACGAAGCCATCTGTCTAGTTATTAAAATATATTTTGTAATTACTGTAATGAACTTTTAACCTTTATCAAATATTATGTTTTAATTACTTTTAATTAATAGCGAGTATCATATCCATTCATCTATAAAACTTCTTTTAATCTATTTGGCATTGTTTTTGTTCTCTCCGCGGAGATTTYTAGGCTAGTTTTGGTGTACTGTTGGATAATGTATGGATAGCATGTTTCAAATCTATCCAAAAGAGCTTAGTCTGATTAAGATCCAAGGACTTAAGGAACGTTCCTAAAGTTTGTTAGGTATTTTACAATACCCCTAGCTTTGTATTGTGAGCTGTATTTTTCGGCTCGTGGTCTTATTGAAAAATGTAATGATCAGAAAGTTCGAAGTTATCCGCGCTAATATTTATTTTTTTATTACTTGATCCATTTTATCAGTAATTAACAACATGTTTCCGACACCATGGAAACAAAACGTTAGACTTTGTTATTTACATTTCCCGCGATAATCGATTTGTTGAAATATTTTTTTCTAGGTTGCCAAGACTGTCGGTGATACCTATGCCAAATCACATCAAAATAATCATTAGAGTTTAGATTATGCTTGTCTCTCTGAAGTACATAAAATTCATTCGGCGATTTTAAGGATAAGTGATATTATTCAAAAAATTGTTTGTCGCGAATATTTTTGATTGATACAAATTATTCACAGAAGATCGAGAACACGTTGAGGTCGAACCACGTCCAGGACSGCCATCAACATAAACTCATGAACAACACTTCAATAAAATAAAGAAATTACTGGCACGGTTGGAATATCATATAAATCAGTTAAAACCGTTTTGAAGAATCATTTGAGCCTAAGAAGTGAAAGCACGATTTTATGGGTCCAAAATATCTAATTGTTTTCGAAAAACAGCGCCGCGGTAACGTCTGTGAAACAATAATTTACGACTACCAGTCGTCAGAAAAGATGAGTCTTGAATCAATACTTTCGATCCCAAAACACACGATCAATCGGCCGGCAAAGGTGAGCCGAAGCCGAAAAAACCACGTCAAATCAAGTCACAATCGGTTACTTTCACAGTTTTCTTCGATTATCAAAATGTGGTGCAGTCCGAATTCCTTCTTACCGGTCAAACTGTCAACAAGGAATATTATTTGTACGTTSTTGCACGAATTATTCGTAAAAAGAKACYGGAATATAGGCCCACAACTCTTGTTTTTTTTGCATAATGATAGTTTACTGTCACATACTGCATTGATTCTTCGAGCGTTAACTACCGTATTCGCCTGATTTAATCCACGTGATTTCTGGCTACTCAGCAAACTCAAACTATTGCTCTGGGTAAATCGTCAATTGAGCGCATTAAACGTTATTCTGGAAATTGACTTCAACCAGTGAAAAAAACGTCAGGGGTTTACTTTAAGTGACATAGATTTTGAAGAATAAATTAAGAATTTTAAAATTATGAACTGAGTCTTACTATTTTTTGCTCATAWTAATACAGCTCCACTGCAGTATATCATTTTATTTAAAATAAGCAATATAACTAARTAATTAATCAATGTTTTGTGCGTAAAAAATATGAATGTTTACAAATTCTCGATAGATTAAGAAATTGCAGTCGTAAATTTTACCTTGAATACTTCTATGTTAGAATATATAATCATCAACTCTGGCTTATGCTTTGGTCAGCGTCCACTCTGCTCTGTCTACGCAATATTTTGTGAAAATATACCCACACAGTTTTGAAGCTGATTTTTCGTTCCTTGGGGTACCTGGAGAGCTGAGCTGAACCGAGGGCAAAGTTGATAAAAGCGAAAAATATAAAACTCCTTTGGAAACAGTTACTAATTAAGCGAGATTGAAAGCAGAAAAATCACATTTCCTTTAAAAATGTGAATATGGGCGCGAAATATCAGTTGGAAGACAGCATTGCACAATAAAAAAAATATTGATAAATGTGATAAACATCA